TTACAATGCCCGTTTGTAGTGATTGTTTTGAGTCCGAGAGTTCTGGATTCTTAATTGGTTGCTTGTACACCCTAAATGGATTGCTATCATATGTTTTCTATAAAATTTGTGTTTCTTGAGAAGCATCTGATTGCTTTAGCACTAAAATTTAATGTAGAATGCTCCTACTTTCTTATGGCCTTAAAACCCTTTTTTTTTCCTTTTGCTAGTTGTTAGAAAGTATTACAGGTTTTCCATCTTTTTCTTGTTGTGCTTGTTGGTACAAAATTTCATCCTTTTTGGATATTCTGGGAGTGTCTTTTAGTATATTTAGAGTGTTAATAGGTATTTTGCATCAAAATTTGAACAATGTGGTTGCAACTTAATACTTTCATGCCTTTAAAATAATTATGGTTTTAAATATTTCAAGCAGCATTGTCTCAACTCTCGAGTAAGAATGACATGGGCTCATAACTCATGATACTTTTATGTACAATTGATTTATGATGACTTTTGTGACTTGTGCTCAGCATTAACACCTTATCCATGAGGATGCATGGTTCTCACAGCAGTCTCGCTTATTGTTGATTCGTTGATACCGCAGTTCAAATGTGCAGAACTCTTGTAAGGATGGCAATGGTGCCTTTTTAAGGTCAGCTTCTATGGACTTCCCACTGTCACCTGTCTTTTCTTTCATGCTTTTCAATCCATTGGCAAATATAATTTCATCTAAATAATGCAGACTCTTAAAAAAAAAATGACTTGGGCAGGTTTATTGTGCCTCTTTATTTTGGAACTCTTACTTTCTTGATGACTTGATCTTACTTGTTAGCCTTTTCCTCTTGTACCAGGCCACCCTTTTCGTCCACAGGACATGGGGTTTACAATGGATCCTTGAAGCTCAAGTTTAGTGTTTGAATTAAATTAAATTACTTACGTGGTTGGACCAATGCAGGTTAAAACTGTATTCTGATTTTCATTCATTTTTGTAGTTGCAAATTGGTGCTCGGTATTTCTCATCTGCAGGTATGTAGAAACCGTTATGTAGTTTGGAAGCTTGCTCTGTGAATTCCTATGCAGGATTTTAACATTTTAGATTGAATGAGCTTGGAAATTCTTATTCTATTCACTTTTCAACAGCTGGCTGATGACAATTGCTACTCTTTGACAATCTGTTGGATTAGAGAATGTTGACATAGAATAAATGTCGCTCCACAAAAAGGGAACACATGTGACAATAATCTTGTTGAAATATTTTGGCTCGCAAGTTTTTTAGTATAATGATAGTGTTGCTTAGCTGTGGTCTGGAGATCTAGTAACTTCCTCAAATCAGAGCACCCTGTTAAGTAGTTAGGTAGTGCTAAGGCTTGCTTGCACATATTTGTGCTGCTAACAGGATATTTCTCTTTTCAAGGGTTTGAATAAGTTATTCATAAACTAAACTCTCTATGATTTAGTATAATTGAAGTAGGAAGTACATAAACTGGAGACTTGTTTTTATTTATTTATTTTTGGTTAAATGACTGTCAGTCATGAATTATTTGATGATTTGAATTTTGAAGCCATTATTTATTGTGGCACACTCTTGCATACACACGTTCTTGGTGTCTGGTTATAGTTGTAGTAGTCGTAGTAAAGGTTCTTACTTGGAACAGCTTCATAACCGTCTACCTACCTTTTTTTTCTGTTATTGCAGACCTTCCTGAGCATACAATCCTAGGGATGCCAGCTTCATCTCCTACTATGGTAAGATATGTGAAGTCTAGGCATAGGAATTTTGCCTAAACTTATTTCTGTTAATTTTCTTCAATTATTCTAGCACTCAAGTATGAATGCTTCTTGCTTTTGCGCAGAGTCAAGGAATCCTTGCAAAACGGAGGAAGAAAGAGGGAGACAAGGTGAGTTATATATAAAAGCAAATATATGCAGAAATGGCTGGGAAATTTTGTGTGTAAATTTTATATTACTTAGAGGTGGTTGTTAATTAATTATTTTCACCACTGTCTTCTGATTCTTGGTTACAGAGTTTCATCTAACAGATAGAAGTGGGTGATGTATTATGTGAAATAGAGACGGATAAAGCTACACTTGAATTTGAAAGTCTTGAAGAGGGGTAATGCTTTTTCTTACTACCATGTTCTTTGTTTACCTTTGTACAACTTGATCAGCTTGAACCCCATTTTCAATTTTGTTTGAATTGTTTCATCTTGTTAATTCTACCTGGTAGTATCCCTAAGTAACGAATTTCAGTGTCCTCCTTAGATTACTTTGCCTAGTTTATGGTTGAGGGCTTATCCGCAGGTTTTTGGCCAAGATACTAGTACCTGAAGGTTCAAAGGATGTGCCTGTTGGACAACCCATTGCAATAACGGTATACTATTACAGTCCTCAAACATTTACTTCCTCTTCATTTTTTATTTCCACTGCACAGGCTTATCACATTAGACCCTTTTTGGCACCATTTGAGTTTCATAATAGGAAAATATGCGTTTTTTGACATTCTGGGGATCCTGTTATTTTGATTTAAAGTTCAAGATTCTTCTTAGTTCCTTTCTCTTTTTTCCCTTTAAGAGATCACTACCATAGAGGTTTTATGCTTTTATTCAATGCTATATTTGTTTGCCTCTTATGAAAATTACACACGTCTTCATGTTTCTCAGTAATTTTTGTTGGAGTATAATTTTTTATTTCTATCAATATTTTATACTTCCATGCTGGTGTGGGTAGCTTTTGATGTATGATGCCATTTTCTGTGCTGTCTAAATGTTTTTGTTCTAGCATTAATTATTCAAATTAACACTTGTTTGAATGTGTTCACCAGGTCAAGAATACAGAAAATATTCAGAAGATCCCTTCTGGTCTTGGCAGTGGGTCAGAAGTTGAGCAGAAAACATCACATCTAGATGCTGGAAACACAGAAAAAGTAGAGGAGAAAAGTTCTATTAAAACCAATGCTTCTAATCTTCCTCCGCATATTGTAGTTGAAATGCCAGCACTCTCGCCAACAATGGTAATGAAAACTTGTTAAGATTTGAACTTATCTGATTCTATTGATTTCACTTTTTCACAGTAAAAACCTTAAAGTTGCTCTTTATTTTTTTTGCTGCAGAACCAGGGTAACATTTCTAAATGGAGGAAAAAGAAGGTGACAAGGTAGTTTTGTTAATATATATTACTAAAATTTCAACTTAAATGCTTTCTCTATCTGATCAAGGGAATATCATGTTCACATCCGTATGCTTTATTCTCTTCAACAGATAGAAGTAGGTGATGTGATATGTGAGATAGAGACTGACAAAGCTACCCTTGAATTTGAGAGTCTTGAAGAGTGGTAATCATTCAATCCTTCTGTGGAGTTTTATTTTTCTCATTATCTGTAGGAAGTCCTATACGGTGCTGGGAAGCACATCCTGCTGACTTCACTTTTTGAGAGAAAACATGGTTCAGTGATACAGAGCACATTGGGTGAATTTACTCTCTGCCTTCCCCCTCATTTTGTTTTAGGTTGTTCCCTAGTATGCTCAGCAACTGCTTGTTGGCATGAAACATCTGCTTATGGCCTTCAGTGGAAAATGTTGGGTGCAGGTACCTGGCTAAAATACTGGCACCAGAAGGTTCAAAGGATGTGCCTGTGGGACAACCAATTGCTATAACAGTAAGTTGTTATTGTGCTTGTGTTGATGATTTATTGATGTGTTTTATCTTGTATTTTATCAAGTGCCTCAAGTTTTCTATTCATGTTTGACTCATGGAGATCTAGTACTCTGAGTTCTGTGAAGTGGTAATTGCTTTAGTCATATGGGAACACCAATTCTTGTTATTTTGCAAGGTTGAAGATCCAGAAACTATTGAAACTGTGAAGACTTCTGTGGGTAGTGGTTCAGAGGTAAAAAAGGAAGAAGTAACCCATCACGTCTCTGAAGGTGAAATTGGACAGCAGAAATCTGGTTTTACAAGGATCAGCCCATCAGCCAAGTTGCTCATTTCAGAATATGGATTAGATGCATCATCAATAAAGGCATCAGGGCTTCATGGTACTTTGCTGAAAGGGGATGTCTTGGCTGCAGTTAAGTCAGGAAAAGCATGTTCTAAAATTTCTTCATCCCAGGATGAGGCAACGTCTTTATCGCAAACCCAACAGAAGAAATCAGCCCCAGGATTGCCAGAGACTCACTCACAGCAATCAGATTCTTTTGAAGATCTGCCTAATACTCAAATTCGCAAGGTTTGTTTCATACAAATGTTATTTATACTGGAGTCTGGAAATGATTTGATAATTTAGTATATTTGAATATGTATTCATGTTGTTGCATATTCTTTTATATTCCGTGACAGGATTAATGGTTTGACAAGCAAAACCCTTAAAAGTATGTTTATGTGAAATTTTTGGTTTCTGCTTTTGCCCTTTACTCAATTCATCATTGTTCTACAGGTTATTGCAAGTAGATTGTTGGAATCGAAACATAGTACACCCCATTTATACTTATCTTCAGGTAGGAACTCAAGCATGTATCTTCATGTCTTAGCATCATTTAATCTTTAATCTAAAGGCTTTATTTGTCTGTCAGATGTTATACTGGATCCTCTTCTTTCTTTTAGGAACGAGCTTAAAGGTATGAACAATAAAACTTATTATTAAACAATTTGTTTGTAGATGCTTTTGGTTTGCTGACTGCTGATCCTTCTTTGCATTTTTAATTTACAGAGAAGCATGATATTGAAGTTTCAGTTAATGACATGATCATCAAAGCTGTGGCAATTGCTCTGAAAAATGTACCAGAAGCTAATGGTAAGACATTTGTATTTCATAAACTGGTCTAGATAGTTAGGTGGTCCAGACAAACTTTTGTTGTTTTTTTTGTATCAACAGTCCAGACAAACATACTGCTGATCAAGAGCAGACGGTTGTCAAAACTAATTCTGATTACATGTTCTGCATGCCATCCATTGCATCCTATATAGTGTTATTAATAGCGGAAAGGCCGAAATCCACTATGATAGCATAGCGGCCGCTATATGTTTATAGCGGGTATTTAATAAAAAAATTAAAATATAAATCTAATATTAAAATAAGAGATAAATCTAGTAATAAAAGGCATAAAATGACCTAAGAATTTATAAAAATTATCAAAAATTATAAAAAACAATATTCTCAAGCCTCAACATATAAAAATCATAGTTTATAATAATCAAACAAAACAATAAAATACTTCAAAAGTACAAAAGTCAGACAAGATCAGTTCAGAAAAAAAATCAGATAATAGAACTTTAAAACAAAAAATCATTCAAAAGTCTAATAATCCTCATCACTCTCTTCTGCTTCTAATTCTTCTTGCTCAGCTACTAAATCATCATCATCCTTGTTTTTCTGACTTGTTCCACCAGGCTCAAACTCCTCTTCTTCCTCCTCTGACTTTTCAAGATCTAATAAAGTATGAGCCTCTTCACTAATTCTAGTAGCATAAACTGCATCAATATTAGAGGTTGTGATTAGAGTTCTAAAAGTTAACGTTGGAACTTGAGAGGTCAAGGCTGCAGTGGCATTTCTTTTTGCTTGTCCCCTAGTGTAAGTTCTAATTTCTCTTGCTCCTGATGCTCTCTTCACATCACCCCAAGTTAGATTATCATTTTCAAAAACCGAATCATTATGAACATCTTCAACTTCACCACTTTCTCCAACCAACCACTCATTATCGAAATCGATCTCATTTAGAACAATAGGATCAATCTCATCTCGCATATCATAACAAGCTTTAAGAGTTTGGTTGTACTTTACAAAAACCAAATCATGCATTTTTTGGTGGTCAAGTCAGTTTCTCTTCTTAGAATGAATCTAAAAAAAAAAAAAAAAAAAAAAGGCAGAATTTACATTCTCTTTATTTTAGAAAATATGTTTGTAAAAAAAAAATTACTTTTTAATTTATTCATTCAATTAGTAAAAAATAAAAATATCAACTTACTTATTCAAATACACTCCAATTACGCTCACATCCAAATGCACTACATGTCAAACTCAAGATTTTGATAGCCAACTTTTGTAAATTTGGAGCTGAATGCCTAAATAAAATCCACCATTCAGCTGTAAAAATACAAAACTTATTTGATTAGTCAATTTAAAATTAGTATAATTAATTATTAAGCAAGTGACAAAGGAAGGCAACTAAAAAGGATAAAGTAATAAGAGGGAGCATATTAATTTTAGCAAATGAAAAATAAAGAAAAAAAAAAGAAGAAAAAATAGAAACCATAAAGCTATTCAAGAAAAATAAAGTGACATTATACAAGAGATCTTACCAGGTGATTTCGAATCCCTTGATTTAATTGGTAAGTCATCACCAAATCGACCTCGAGCTCTATTATAAATTAGGACTTCATATATTTGGAGTTGCAAATTAACATCAAGCTCCATCTTCTTAATGCAATCCATCAATCCACCAGTTAGTCTCAAATCCAAATCCATATTTGGAGTACTATAAAAGACTGCAAGATTTAAGTAATGAGCTGCTGCATGTAACGATCGATAAAGTTGGCATTCTCGTTTATTGTCAATAATTTCAAAGATTTCCTTGTACTTGCTTTCATCATCATTTTGCAATCTCTTAATGAAATCCTTAGCTTTGGTCATTGCCTCATAAATATAAGGCATTGCTAGCTTACTTTCACTATCAACAAGCCACAAAACAATCACAAGAGGACCCATAACCCTTAGAGTATATAGCACATTATTCCAAAATGAAGCAGCAATTACTGTACTTACTGCATTTACTCCTTTGGCATCTCTAGCCAACTTACTACTTGTCCATTCATTAGATGTAAACGTCTTTCGAAGGTTGACCTTTTGCTTGTACACATTTTGTAATGAAAGAAAATTCGTAGCAAACCGTGTCACCCCATATCGGACCAACTCAGTCTTGTTAGTGAATCGCCTCATTAAGTTTAAGGTGCTTGAATGGTTGTGGATGAACCCAACAAGACTTATTGCTTTTTGTATTGTCTTCTTAACCTTTGAAATCTTTCCAATGTCCTCTAGTATAAGATCAATACAATGTGCTGCACATGGAGTCCAAAATATGTGCTTTCTCTTCTCTTCTAATAATTTACCTAAGAGAAATAAAACAAAATGAATTAATAAATTAAATTTAAAGTTAAATAAATAACAAATATAATATAATAGCTATACTTACCAGCTACAACATAATTGCTCCCATTATCTGTTATAAGTTGAACTACATGTTCTTCTCCAATCTCCTCCACAATGCTATCAAGCAACTCAAACAACTTTTCCCTGGTTTTGACAAAAGCAGAAGCATTAATAGACTTTACAAACATTGTACCAGCAGGAGAATTAACCAAAAAATTGATTATACTCCTTTGCCTCTTATTCGTCCATCCATCGGACATAATAGTGACCCCATATCTTGACCATTGTTTCCTATGATACTCCATTAATTTTTTAGTGTACACCAACTCCTTATTTAAACATGAAACCCTCAATTCATGGTAGTTAGGAGGTTTGAGATTTTTTCCATATTGTCCAATTGCTTCTACCATTAGCTTGAAACTTTCCGAACGAGCAACATTGAAAGAGATGCCATTTTGATAGAAGAACTGAGCAATGTATTGAATTGTTTCAACCCTCAAATCCTTGTTAGAATCTTTTATAGAAGATTGCCTACACTTTTCAAGCTTTCTCTTTTTGAGAATTTCCTCAGGTTTTTTGTATATGTACAAATCTATGCGGCCTTTGTGTTGCCCAATTTTGGTCTTTTTACTTCTACCACCAATAGATAGAGTTGATTCTCTTGGCATAAGTTCTTCCTCTTCAAGATTAATAGTACCACAACTAGATATAAACATCTCCTTTTCTAATTTTTTGGTTGTGGCTTTTTGTTGTAAATTAGCCCACAACTCTTCCCTAACTGCTAATGGGCATTTAAGACATGGAGCCACGTCCCTTTTAATTCCTATTTGATGCCTTTTAGCTCTGGTGATACCACCAATGGTAACTTTATTATAAAAGTTACTGACCACCCGACTTGAGTTATTAGGATCTTGCAACTTATTATATTTCCATCCAATCTCATCATCTAATCTACTTATTTTTTATCTTGATGAATTGGTCATTGATCCACTTTCCATGTCATTGTCAAAATCAACTTATTATATACAATCTAGACTTCCATATTAGAAAATGCATCATAGAATCAAAATCAAGATTTTATTTTCCTATATAAACTTGCTTCAATACAGAATAAAAAAAAAAAAGAAAAGAAAAAGAGGCGCACTTGCAGTAGCAAAACCAAGCAAAGAAAAAAATAATTGTAATATAAACTTGCTTCAATACAGGAACAAAAAAAAGAAAGAAACAAAGGCGCACTTGCAGAAGCAAAACCAAGCAAAGAAACAAATAATTGTAATATAAACTTGCTTCAAAACAGAAAAAAAAAATAGAAACGGAGGCGCACTTGCAGAAGTAGAACCAAGCAAAGAAAAAATACAGAGGCGCACTTGCAAAAGCAGAATCAAGCAAAGAAAAAAGAAATTGCAACATGTTTTCGTGTCTTTCTATTTCTAATTTCAACTTTTTGT